TATGGGCAGATTGGTCGAGTGGTTAAAAATCCGGCCTTCCAAGAAGGCGGCCGGGGTTCGATCCCGGAAGTCGCCGTACGCATGCAATATTAGCGAAAGTGATTTTCTCCTGCTCACACAACTCCAACAACCCAGGTGGACTATAAAATGGTCTGGGGTGGGTGTTGCGGTATCTGTGCTGTAGCATTCCAGTGAAGTGAATAAGTAAATAATACCGTTGGAAGCACGGTCCTACTACAAACAGAACACAATATATCTCCAACACACACACAGACATGGTAACCATGATTTTCACAAGCCCAAAATCTGGAGAAAACACCTCTTGCAAATAAATCATTCTTTTAAAAAATGAATTCGAAATGTAGTTTATATATATTATATATATTTAGGTATGTTGTGCAGGATGCATCTACTATCCATGATTATCTGAGACATGCCCTATATTTTTAGGATCAGGTCATTTATACTGTACTCTGCTTACCAGGGTAATGGCGTAACTTCCGTAATAAATGTATAATGATATATCGTTCCGTGCCATGATATGTATCACTTTGCTAAAAATACTGTATAAAACCTCAATGTGCACAGTGGACATTTATAAAGTACATGTATCATAACAAACACTGACTTAATCATATTTGAATATATCTGATAAGTTGTGTGTGTTACAGTAGTACCAGTTTATAATCTTGCTATATATCTGAATGTTTAATGTATGTCGTGAGATTGTTGACGGATATGTTCAATACAAATTCTGGAGAAGGAAGTACACGCGTCCGAAACGGAAAGAATGTGACAAAAGGGAGGTAGCTCGTGATGGCTTAATACGAATCTGAAAATAGGTGCTTGACACTGTCTAATACGTGACTATTTTTTTAGTATTATTTCACGTGTGATAATTATATTTTATAATTATAAACTAACACACAACACCATGTGTAGTTCTTAACCGTCTACCAACAGTAAAAGGTCACAGAAGAAAATACCTAAGATAACATTGATATTAACCTTATTTATAATTATGGACTTGCATACAAAACACGGATTAAAACGAAGTAAATCTATGATAGTGAGTTTAATGAAAACTTAAATAAATACTAGGAAAATTGGGAAAATAAATAAAAAACCATGACTGCGCCAAGGAGCAAAGGAATCAACAATAATTGAAAATGTGTAGGTAAACAAGATAAATAATAGCCATGTGTTCATTTTAATACCGTGTTTGGTGTTTATTTTGATAAAGTTGACTCTATTTATTTGATACAACTTCATTCCTTTCCATTGAAGTAATTTGAAATATTAAACATATTCAATACATCTGATCTGAACTAAAATGCAGTACACTTCGACAAACTAAGATATCCAGCGCCTGGCCCAGCCCCAGCCTCAGCCCAATCCCAAGCACAAGCACAACCCCCATACCCTGCCCCAGCCCCAGCCACAGCCACAGCCACAGCCAAAGCCCAAGCCGCAGCACTATCCCCAGTCCAAGCCCCATTGTTATTTTATGAGTGAGGTATCGCTAAAAAGTGGCAATGCATACCTGTTATCAGCAGACATAACTCAAACCTGTTTATAATGGTGTATATTCAGTGCTAGAACTAATAAGTTGATACGATTTTTAACTGCAACACACATACCGTTTCGGACACAATACCATATATTAGCTTCTGTGTAGGCGCTGGTATCATTGAAAACATAACCAGCTGATGTAATCGTTTTACCACACTGATATTATGGGAATACACCACACCACATCCAAATCCAGAGAGTCCAAAATCCTTTAATAAAAGAAAATAATAACATTCCCACCAACATAATATAGTTTATCCTAAAACAGAACTGTTCTTTGAATTTTTCTTAATTGATTTGTGAAATGGAACGTATAAAAAAAACCATGACGTTAACGTTTTCTGACAATAATATGAACAAAATACCTTATCATAGTTAGTTGATATGAACTAGAAGGATACATATATATATTTCAAGTTGAGAGCAGTATGTCAGCTACCTTGCTTAAAACCCCAAACGAAATGAGTCCGCTCTGGATCAGGAACAGACAAAGACAAAACGCTTGTAGAACAACTCCGGCCTTGTGTTGACAATCCGCAAATCTCATTAGCAGTGATATGTAGTTTCTCTCTATAAATATAACAGATGAATTACATCGAATATTTGTAACAAAACTGCATTACAGATTAAGTCAAACCCTTAGGATAAAGCATCATAGCCTTATAGTAATTTCATTTATTCTAACCATCGATTGTAGGTAAACGTATATATCTATATAAATCATATCAATTAAAGGATTTTGGCCAAGATATTTTTACATTTTGTAAAAGTAAGCGAAACTTGTAATTTACTTAAATAAATCCCGAATCATCCATCAACGCGTGCTCAGAAGTGTCCCGTAACCAAGATATAGGCAATCAAATATGACCGCTCCATTCTGGGTAGAAGTTTAATGAGCTGACAGGTCACGTGGTACTTGTGATGTGAGAGTGGCACGTTTGGGTCACTGGTCAACATAACAGTAGCTAGGGTTCAGGAGTTACACTCAATATATTTCCGAATTTCTTCAATGAACACGTCTGGCAGTGTGATTCTTGGCATGAACTGTAGACTTAATAAAAATTATCGGCGAATATAAGTTGAAGACAGGAAGACGACAAATCACTGTGTAAGTAACAATTGACATTGGAGGACGATTCTAATATAGCAGGGACGTAAATAATAACCCATCTCAGTATAGCAAAGGTGTATATCCATACAAAGTATATACATCTGTCAGATATAAGTGCAAATATATATAGGAATTGTATAGATCTCGATCTAATCCATCCATGTCTAACATGTCATTTCTCATCCGCATGTGAAACATATGAATCATAGCGACCACATATTTAATCATCCTTACATCTTGCTTGGCCTTTTGTGAATATGATTCACGGACATCTATTTGCATTTTAAACGGATCTTTTGATGCGTTTTTCTACAAAACACAATTCATACAATACAGTTATTTTAAAAATGTTTGGTATCAAATGGTGGCTTTGTGTTAGTAGATAATTTATACATGCATTTTGTATTCTAGATAGTTTGTACAGGAGGTGTATTATACATTAATATAGATATGTATGTATATATTTCAGAAAATCAAAAAAACAGTTACGCGCTAGATAGAGATCAATTATTTGATACACTTACATGTAAACTACTTTTGATAAAACAGAAAAATGATACGCACAAAAGGTAAGGTTTGCAGCAATGCGCGACTGATATATTATTAGAAACGAATATAATCCATTCTTGTATGCTTCATTTGTTATAATAATAGTAATAATATACAACATTTATATAGCGCCCTATATAATTTGTAAAATTACTCTAAAGCGCTTTACAACATATGGATAATAGTAATGGTTATAATTATGAAAACAAAAAACGAAGGCTTACAATCATTTTTATACATTTAAGCAAGCAATGTGCACATAATTGAACAAATAAAAGGGTGGTATTTACATGACGTCTTTGCAAAGATTCTAAAATGCAGACGTGAAGAGGGGAGTTTTGATGTCCCTCTTGAACTTGGCCAGGGTATTTGACTTTCTAATTGCAGATGGTAAGCTATTTCACAACGTATATAATCAGACATCTATCTCTTAAAATGTCGCGGCCAGAGGAACTCGGGCTATGTACCAGACATATATCTGTCCAAATGTCTAAGTCTGGTGTCAGGGCCAGAGGAAACTCGGACTACTGGTGACCAGACACTGTTTATTATGGTCATTTTCGGGTATATACAAGTTATGCTGATCCTGAGGCCATGTTCAAGGAGAAAAACCTACACGTTGCAAAGTTGTTTTGATGGGTATCAATTAGAAAAAAAATAAAATGATGCAATTACGCGAAATTGTCGGACTTAAAATTCAATAACGGAGGTACAACTTTATAGTCTATCGTACTATAACCCTGTCTCGACTTGGAAGTTCAGCAACCTTATTTTGGCCAGGTTTTGGTGGTGAAGGAAAACCCGAATGCTCGCAGAAAAAAACCAGGACCTGCGGCCAGTACCTCGACACTGCCCAACGTAGGCCTCGATCCTGCAACCCAGTGATGCGGTATTAGCAACGTCGAGCGTGGTCAGTAATTGGATGAGTAACCGCTCGCACGTTACACATATAACAAAATGAACTTGAGTAAACTAAAAGCTATATAATGCATCCGTAAATATCATCCATCTGTGAGTATGAATACAGAAATATCGTTGTTGAGTTTGAACAGAAGTGATATATTATAGGCACTTTACCACTCTGAAGCCTGTAAATAGATTATGTGCCCTTGTACATGCATGTATTTGGTGGCTGATGAACTATACCTCGAGTTAGTGTTGATTGTATACAGATGTAACAGGAATATCAAAGCACTTAACACATACGTATGAGTTTTCATAAAAATATTGATATCGAATCGTTATGGTATACTGTAATAATAGGATCACATACTATAGAACTAAACAAATGGGATGGGTTTAACTTGGTTGGAAGATTATGAAAAAATATAGCCGAAAGAATCAACCATATAAAAACAAAAAAACAAAAAAAACAAATCAACCCAACCTTACCACCACCAAATAAAACGAAATAAAACAAAATGCCGAATGAAAAGAGACCAAAGTAAACCGAGGGGCTGATTTTGCAGCCTTGCGCCTCAAAAAAAAAGAAAATATTTCCGAAGACGATCACGATTGTATTCGTAATGAGATGAGGTGGGGATTTATCAGTACTGTAGGGTTTTATATTTGCAAGTGTTTAACGTCAAATATATATACATAAAACATATTTTTATCTCAAGGAAACACAAAGTCCGTTCAAAAGTACAGTGACAAGAAAGTAATGATTTAAATGAAACATTGAGCGATCCTTCTTGAGAAACAGGATGTTGATAATAACATTTAAGAGGCACTTGTGTACATGCTGTTTAGTGATATTTTTGTTATTGCTGAATGACCTATGATATATTTACTCGTTCTCAACTCCAGGTATCGCCGCATCGCGGATGTTAACTTCATTTTCCAAACTTATTTACGTATGGTCAGTTAAACAAAAGTAACAGACTGGAATTTGCATAAGCCTTGATTGTCTCCAACATCATCTAATGTTGGTGACGTCACACAGTTTCGGAAAATTAGCGCACCTCCGCTATATTGTATTGTTGTCAACGTCATAGAATGTTTTCATGTTCTGTAAGGTGATGAGGTGATAGGAACAAACATAACTGAGGATGAAAATATTGTTTTGTGTTCATGCTTGCTCATGATTATCCATAGGATGGAGGTGATTTTGTTTGTTGCCACGATTCTGCCTTGTCTGTGTATGGGTAAGCGTGTTTTTTTTTATCAAGTGTGATCAATTGAAATGAATAGAGCACGCATGTCTCCCTCTGAATTTGTAGTTGCCATTGAGTGCTGCTACAACTGACAATATTTTAACGAATGTATCTACAATGTATTCGTATTTATATAAGTAATATTATCAGTCATGCCTAGGACAAGTATATGACGTGACATACTTACGCACCGGAATCACAATGGCGGCTTTTTACATTTCAAGTTTGAGTGAAAACTGTCGTTTTACGCGAATATATGCCACAAATCTTGATTATGTGATAAAAGGGAGCTTACACTTGTTTTCATTTCATATGAAATGAATGAAACTAGTTTAATATTTTTCAATTCAATAAAATGAAAAATTCGAGACGAGAAATGGAAACTCATCTAAGATCCTACACATTTAAGCATTTATTTGCATTCAGTTTTGTTTCAATATGAATGCCAAGTTGCCATCTGGAAAAATGCAAATTCTATCAAGCGCGCGAGTGCTTCATGTTGGATTTGCTTTTGTCAAGTCGGCATACATGGTGCAGTTCAATACTTTTATGACAAATGTTCGAAGTCTGTTTATCTGATTGAAAATTCAATCACATTTATTTTTTATTCAGCATTAAGTTCAAATAATGGATTCATCGTATACTGTATATGTTTGTTGAATAAACAGAACAGCCATCTGTCCAGGGAGGGTCGGTGGTATTTAACGTGATAATTATGATGTAACAATAATGGTGGCGTCAACAATCGGCTCACCACATTTATAGCCTGTATGAATGCCACCTGAATGTGGAAGGGTTATATAGTGGCAATGTCATACGTTGGTAAATTTATAAAACTGTGGTACCTATAACAACAGGAGATATATATGGGAAATCAACTTTGAACACTTAAACGAAATATTGCATACACTTATGGCGATATCTTAACAACTTTTTGAGATATCTGTGTTAATTTAGGTAATATTTTATAAACAATAATCGCATTGTATAAATATAAATATTAGGAATCTCTTCATTACGTCCTAGCGATCTCGAACTCCAAATGTAACGTTAATCGCCAGTAATTCGGCACCCCAAAAATATACCAATTCCTAAATGTGAAAAAAAATCAAAATAGTTTAGATAACGTAAGTGCAGGCAAATTCGTCACATTAGTAAGGGTTTCAGTTAATAATTTGTCCAAATACACACGTATCAAAATGCCAATGAGCACCAGTACAGAAGAAGATTTGACTGAAATGCCTATAAATAAATATTGCTGTAAACACGCCTGAATGACGTCACGCAGCAACATGTTTGACGTCATCAGACCTTCCGTGGATTTGCTTAAAGGTGCAGGCAGATCAGTTTCCTCAAGTGACCGAAAATTAAAAATCACAACTAAGAAAAGCCATTTATTTCAATGTTTAACATTGTTTCACGAACACATTTGGAGCTGTTCGTATCAGTACGATTGGTGTAACATAAATATACAAAATGTTATATTTGAACACTTACAGTACTTGCAAATAAGTGAAATGTTTAAATGTGGCGAAACTGCCTGCACCTTTAAGCAAATCCACGGAATGTCTGATGACGTTACACATTGCTGCGTGACGTCATTCAGGCGTGTTTACAACAATGTTTATTTATAGGCATTTCAGTAACTTTCAGGGAGCTTTAGACGACCGTTGAAAGCCTTAGCATCTCAGCCGGTCCCAGCCATCTTACTCAAACAGTTGTTTGAGTAAGTTGGCTGGGACCGGCTGATATGAGATCAATTTTCATGCATCGCGATAAAAAGATCAGTTCTTAACAAATATAAACTTCCTAATCGGTGCACAAACATATTTTTTCATCGGATGCGGATGGGAGGGTCTTGCTAGGGCTTTCAACGGTCGTCTAAAGCACCCTCCCCCCCCCTGACTTTTGGACAATTTGTCACATACATGTAGTATCTCCGATCGCTTTGCACATCAACGGGAAACACATCTGACAAATTCATTGTTGGGCTAGACTGCCCCAGGTGTTGTAAATGTACTTGTTTTTCATGTTAAAATCAGATTTGGTAACTGTCGGTCTCTTAAAGTAATCATCAGCGATTGCACAGCAGTACACGTACTCGTACTTTCAGGCCGACAACAAATTCTTTTCAAATATCAATCTAGAAAATTTCTAGATGGTATTCAAATAAAGTGTTGTAAGATGGCTGAATCTCAAATCTTTCCGAGAGTCATTTCCATAAGCATTGGATCATCAGTATACATGGTATGTACCAAAGTACACTTGTAGAAAAAACAATTTACTGGCATTGACGACTCATTCGACAATGAAACTGCAATAAGCATTGAGATATGGGTATTTTCAATTTCTATGTGATGTATTTATACTAAATCACAACCAACAGGCCTCAGATTATTGAGTTTAGTTGACGAGATGTCCGTTGAATTACAAGATATTTTCGAACTGTTTTGATTAATAAAATAACTTTCCCCTTCTTTTACCTCTTCTTGTCAAAATCTTTGAAGGCTTCAACTGTGTTGAAGACTAGGGTGACGTTATTTACGTCACATTTTATGTATTATCACGTCATATGGCATTTTCGTCACAGGCTGGCAAATTTGGGTACATGGCGAATTTGTCTGCAATAATGTTACATTTCGATATTTTTAACGAATCGATGTCAACATCAATTTTAAAATGGTGATCTCGCTTTAAAGCACAATTTGGTTTGAAGAACTTCATGTCGAAAATATATTACCAGTTGTAACAATGAAATGGTAATTAGGTACTGGTTACTGGAAAACGTTCGCCCAGTCAAATATTCGCCCCTCCTCCATTAAATCTATATTTACCCCGTGCTAATTTCGCCATTCACATGATACTACCATATACGGTATGCTGTTAACTTATATTCGCTGTCATGGTTAATTCGCCCTCATTGCAGAGGGTGAAAAGGGCGAAAACTTAACTGCAGCGAAAACTTCCCGCTATGCAGTATCTCATTTTTGATTGTTCCTTACTTGCCGACATGTCATAGGTTATTTTATATAATATATGATCTACAATTCTTGTAGCATAAGGAAATTTGAGCTGATCAAATTCGTCAATTAATTATATGAACATGCGCATTGGACTATTTAAAACTGGTGATAAGCATTTGAGGCACTTTTAATCAATCATCAAATTGTAGATCTGTAGCATGCATTTTGTGCAAGATGAATACAAAACTGGTTAGTAAGTAAGCTTGTTTTAATTTTATATGGTAGACAATTCCAAATCAGCATATCTGCCTTTGGTCTTAGTATTGAAAAATCGTGACCGATTGTTGATTGAAGTCCATGTATATTGATATATTGTACCACAAATGCCTTCTGTAAGCCTAATTACTGATTAACATGCGACGCTTAATAAGGTACAGGAGGGAGCAGCGTCCGTCCCAGATCTTTATTATCTTTTGTAAACTAAATAAATGGGTCGTAACCCATGGAGTATCGAGGATGAACATTGAAGGATCGTTACCAGTTGTTGATTGAAATCTATGCATGTCAATGTAATGCATCACTAATGCCTTCCGTAGGCCTACATACTGATTAACATGGGACGTATTATAAGCCCGCCCCTGATCTTTATGATCTTTTGTAAACTAAATAAATAGGGTAGCACGTTTGTTTTATATTGTGTATTGTATTATAACAGGTCATTCAGACACACGTGTGCGGTTGACGACGACACATCCTGTCGCAGAGGGAGGATCACTTATTTTGTCGTGTTCGTTGACCAATGACACCTCTACGCACGCCGCGTTTTATTTCAAGAATAGGACAGCCATCGGAACAGTACGGCGTGCGGGAAACAGTTGTCAGAATGGTACTACAGGTCAGGCGTGTTACAGGCGGTGTAGCTGTACCCGAGACGGTTCATCCTTCTCCATGAATATATCTAATGTGAATAGATCTTGGAACAAGGCACGTGTCTACTGTCATACCGGCCACCTAAGTGTTGCTAGTAACACTACAGAGATAACTGTAACATGTAAGCTTACTTGTCATTTATATTTAATATCTAATGGGGTTGTTTATATAAGACTAAGAGATACTAATTTGAGTTTAACAGGGGTGAATGGAATTACCAACCGGACGTTTCCTCAGAACAACCTGCCTGAGTAGTTGCATGCTAAGTGTTCCATTGTCTGGTCGGTTATCTGGCATGGACGATGTGGCCTCTGATTTAAAGTAAAACAACAATATTATATAACAATTATTAAACAATGTCTTTCAACATGTATCAAACAACTTTTCTTGGCCAGGATATTAGCGGGCAGAGGGGCTTAAGTGGGAGAAACCCTAACTGATTGACACGTGTGTGGGTAGAGCCAAAGTGATGCCAGCGGTGTTTTTCTATGTCTCGTGCTCGTCTTCTTCTTCTCTCTCTTCTTTTTGTTCCTAATCTCCTTATTATGTTTCTGAAAATTGTGCAGAACGCATTTCCGATTGAAACACATAGAAACTACGGGCTCAAGTAATGCCGAGACACTTGCAGATTTAAACTTGGTATACTTTAAAGTTACACCGTTGGATAACCTACTATTTATATAGTTTGTACTGTTTATGCCATTGTACTTATCTATAAATATATTTCGCTCTCAAAAACAAGTTGACACTTGCGAATGAATGGAGTAATTTTGTAGGACTTTGTTACGGTCCCCGTTACGTTTGCCCCTGTATGACTAAGACATTTCTGTTCAGATGGACCTGAAGTGGATCTTGTTTTCGCCAACACTACAGAAAATACAACAAACTTTCATCTGAATTGTAAAGCTAGTGGTGAACCTGACCAGTACACATACAGGTGGAAACACACGTTCGGATCTACAGTGATTAGGGACACATTTGACAACGTGACGAGTTCAGGGTCTGTTAGTACACTGACCATTCCCAAAGTGACCTATCAGGACATGGGGACGTATGAATGCAAAGCGAACAACGGAAATAGGGAAGGAAATGACCGGGGATTTCTGTCAGTGCAGGGTAATACTGTTAATTGTATTCTGAGGAGTTCCTTTTAACTCAAAGTGTTTCCCATTAACAACCAATATAATTCAATTGTTTTCCCCTAAACAAATCACAACTGTACTGCTAATATGTAAGCATACGTTAAAATTTTGAAACAGAAGCTTTTGTTTAAGTTGCTAAACAAGATACGGATACGTACACGAATTAAACATGATTTTCTCCAATTACTCGCTGACCATTTATTTTTTATTTTTTTTATTATCAATAAAGTTTATTAAAAAAATATACGTGTGTGTTTATACAACTTAGGCAGACCACGAGCAATCGAAGCACAACAGAGATATGTAACAGAGAAGGACATCTCCCGTGACATTAACATAACCTTTGTCAGCTTTCCTAAACCAGTCAACACGACCATCTTACGATTAGACTCCGCTCTACCTCCTCACAGTGAACTTTCTGTCAATGTCTCGTCTGTTCCGGTGACAATGTCGTTCTACAACAAGAATGTTTCTGTTGATGGTTACAGGGTAGAGTTACACTTCAGCAAGTTTGAGACAAAACACCAAGGCCGTTATATGCTGTATGTTTTGAATACGTATACTTACCATTACAACTTTGATATAGCTATATCCGGTGAGTACTGTAGTTTTGTGATACTACTGTAAAAGTAAATATTTTGATGGTGTGGATATGTTTGCTACTTTGACGTTAAAAACAAAGCAAAACATTTCCACACCACAGTCCGTTAAAAGGGTCATAACGTGAACATTTCCACACCACACTCCGTTAAAAGGGTCATAACGTGAACATTTCCGCACCACAGTCCGTACAAGGGGTCATAACGTGAACATTTCCATACCATATTCCGTACAAGGGGTCATAACGTGAACATGTTTACACCACAGTCCATACAAGGGGGCATAACGTGAACATTTCTACACCACAGTCTGTACGAGGGGTCATAACGTGAACATTTCCATACCATATTCCGTACAAGGGGTTATAACGTGAACATTTCTACACCACGGTCCGTACAAGGGGTCATAACGTGAGCATGTTTACACCACAGTCCGTACAAAGGGTCATAACGTGAACATTTCCGCACCACAGTCCGTACAAGGGGTCATACCGTGAACATTTCTACACCACAGTCCGTACAATGGGTCATAACGTGAACATTTCTACACCACGGTCCGTACAAGGGGTTATAACGTGAACATTTCTACACCACAGTCCGTACAAGGCGTCATGACGTGAACATGTCCACACCACAGTCCGTACAAGGGGACATAACGAGACTATTTCCACACCACAGTCCGTTCAAGGGGTCATAACGTGAACATTTCCATACCATAGTCCGTACAAGGGGTTATAACGTGAACATGTTTACACCACAGTCCATACAAGGGGTCATAACGTGAACATTTTTACACCACAGTCCGTACAAGGGGGCATAACGTGAACATGTTTACACCACAGTCCATACAAGGGGTCATAACGTGAACATTTCTACCCCACAGTCTGTTCAAGGGGTCATAACGTGAACATTTCAAAAACACAATCCGTACAAGGGGTCATACCGTGAACATTTCTACACCACAGTCCGTACAAGGAGTCATTACGTGAACATGTCCACACCACAGTCCGTACAAGGGGACATAACGAGACTATTTCCACACCACAGTCCGTTCAAGGGGTCATAACGTGAACATTTCTACACCACAGTCCGTACAATGGGTCATAACGTGAACATTTCTACACCACGGTCCGTACAAGGGGTTATAACGTGAACATTTCTACACCACAGTCTGTACGAGGGGTCATAACGTGAACATTTCCATACCATATTCCGTACAAGGGGTTATAACGTGAACATTTCTACACCACAGTCCGTACAATGGGTCATAACGTGAACATTTCTACACGACAGTCTGTACAAGGGGTCATAACGTGAACATGGTTACACCACAGTCCGTACAAGGGGTCATACCGTGAACATTTCTACACCACAGTCCGTACAATGGGTCATAACGTGAACATTTCTACACCACAGTCCGTACAAGGTGTCATTACGTGAACATGTCCACACCACAGTCCGTACAAGGGGACATAACGAGAATATTTCCACACCACAGTCCGTACAAGGGGTCATAACGTGAACATGTTTACACCACAGTCCGTACAAGGGGTCATAACGTGAACATTTCCACACCACGGTTCGTTAAAAGGGTCATAACGTGAACATGTTTACACCACGGTCCGTACAAGGGAACATAACGTGAACATTTCCTCACCACGGTCCGTTTAAAGGGTCAAAACGTGAACATGTCCACACAATAGTCCGAACAAGAGGTTATAATATGAACATTTCCACACCACAGTCCGTACAAGTGGTCCTAACGTGAATATTTCTACACCAAAATCCGTACAAGGGGTCATTACGTGAACATTTTTACACCACAGTCCGTACAAGAAGTTATAACGAGAACATTTCCACACCACGTTCCGTACAAGGGGTCATTATGAGAACATTTCCACACCACAGTCCGTTAAAATGGTCATAACGTGAAATATGTTTACACCACAGTCCGTACAAGGTGTCATTACGTGAATATTTCCACACCACAGTCCGTACAAGGGGTCATAACGTGAACATTTCCACACCACAGTCCGTACAAAGGGTCATAACGTGAACATTTCTACACCACGGTCCGTACAAAGGGTCATAACGTGAACATTTCCACACCACGTTCCGTTAAAATGGTCATTACGTGAACATTTCCACACCACGGTCCGTTAAAAGGGTGATAATTTGAACATTTCCACACCACGGTCCGTTAAAAGGATCATAATTTGAACATTTCCACTCACAAAATGCAGTGTATTCCATTTTTACAGCGAGGTTTTATCACAAACTTAAAACTGCAACAACATTTCATACACGTTTCAATGAAGCAAAAATTTAGCTGCAAATAATGTCATGGTAAAAGGAATGTGGCGCCATGTAATTGGTATCTTTAATGTTTATTTGAAAACTGTATTCTGCACTAGATTGTTTTGTACTGCAGACAAGCCAGACTCCCCTACATATCTGATAATAGCGCAAATCACGGACAGCAGCGCCATCATATCGTGGACTCCAATGGACGACAACGGGAATAGTCAAACGTTTACAGTAATTTGCCGAAACAGCGGGGGAATACAGACTAATGTCACCCTTAACCATAGCGTTTCTTCCTACACCATTAGAAATCTTGACATCTCAACAAAATATCACGTTACCCTTTATGCAAGCAACGTCAAAGGAACCAGTGTTCACGTTACCAGCTCATTTAAGACGAAATCAGGTAAAATTTACACATATAATAATAAGGCTTCTTTATTTGAAATTAATGTTACCGAATAATGTATCACATAGGATGTTCCAGTTGGCTATAACGGATCAGCTTGTGTTTTGGTGGTTTAAATGAATACAATTGCTGGGAGCTTGACGTGTGTAAAAATTTGCAGGCGAGACAAAATGAGGGTGCGAAGTTGATTTTATTTTTATAAATATGATGTTATTTTTAATTTTTAAACTGTACTTCGGGCATAGCCACTTGTCTTACTATGGGTTAATGGCAACAGAGAATTACGACAAACGATAATTGTAGATAGTCGAACACTTTAAATGCTAACAAGTTAAGTACTTGTATTGATGCGAGGCATCATATTGAAACAATAATAAAGGCGGGTTCGATCCTTATTGGAATCTAACAATAGCCCTCGCTTAGGGTTTCGTTCAAAATTTTGCAATACGTCAATTAATTTTGCAATATACCAATTGACTTTGCAATATACCTATTGACTTTGGAATATACCAATTGACTTTGCAATATACCCATTGATTTTGCTATATACCAATATATTTTATAATATACCTATTGATTTTGCAATAAACTATACCAATTGGTTTTGCAATAAAACAATCAATTTTACAATAAGATTTTGCAATATACTATTGATTTTGCTATATACCAATATATTTTACAATATACCTATTGAATTTGCAATATATGAATTGATTTTGCAATATACCAATTGATTTTGCAATATATCAATTGATTTTGCAATATACATATTGATCTTGAAATATACTAATAGATTTTGTAATATACTATCCTATTTGATTTTTCAATAAACCAATTGATTTTGCAATATATCAATTGATGTTTGCAATATACCAATTGATTTAGCAATATACCAATATTTTGCAATATACTTTAACAATTTAATTTGAAATGTACCAATCTATTTTGTCAATATACATATTGAATTTGCAATATACCAATCGAATTTGCATTAAACATTTTTTTTAATATACCAATTGATTTTGCAATATACCAATTGATTTTGCAATATACCAATTGATGTTTGATACCAAATGATTTTGCAATATACCAATTGATTTTGCAATATACCAATGGATTTTGCAATATACCAATTGATGTTTGATACCAAATGATTTTGCAATATACCAATTGATGTTTCCAATATACCAATTTGTGTTTCCAATATACTTTTCCAATTGATTTTGCGATATATCAATTGATGTTTGCAATATACCAATTGATTTAGCAATATACCAATATTTTGCAATATACTTTAACAATTGAATTTGAAATGTACCAATCTATTTTGTCAATATACAGATTGAATTTGCAATATACCAATCAAATTTGCATTAAACATTTTTTTTAATATACCAATTGATTTTGCAATATACCAATTGATGTTTGATACCAATTGATTTTGCAATATACCAATTGATTTTGTAATATACCAAGTGATGTTTGATACCAAATGAGTTTACAATATACCAAATAATTTTGCAAGATACCAATTGACTTTGCAATATACCAATTGATGTTTGATACCAAATGATTTTGCAATATACCAATTGATGTTTCCAATATACCAATTTGTGTTTCCAATATACTTTTCCAATTGATTTTGCAATATACCAATTGATTTGTAGAAAATACGACAACTGGAAACGCTGCCATCATTGGTGGAGCTGTAGGTACAGTGGCTGGAGTAATCCTGATTATAGGTTTAGTGGCGGTCCTCAGGCGTCGCAGGCGACATCAACCTGGACCAGGTACGTACGCGTTCTATCGAGGTCATTTGGTATAGATATACAGCCATCTTCACAATTATTCTCAAATGAACGGGATTTGTCTAAGTATTTCTGATACATTCGACAAGGTTTCTTCGATAAAACAATTAAGTACTTCATATTCGTTTTTAAAGTTGGGTTATCCAGGTTTAATAAAACATTCGAGAGAGTGTGTTGATATATATGAGGTTCTATTGTAGCAAGAATCATAGGGTTACATGATTTCTTTGATTTGTTTCAGAAGCCACAGAAGAGGAGTAAGTATATACCTTTTGGTATAAACTATCAGTTTTTAAAGTGATAGGAAACAGCTATTTATAACAACAGAAGTTGAATAATGTTGTGCGCTGCCAACAATATTGTGAACTTTCGAGGGAAAACATATATCAACATATATAGGTATTATATATTAACTTATTATAACAAATGTCTAATACCAATAATCGATTGTGCGAGGGAAATAGTATTGGTCGACAGGGTGATATGATTGCAATCAAGATCAATCGCCTTTGATTTGCATTATCTTATCTAGTACATGTATATGTATGAGATAGGATATATTTAATAAAGTTATCTAGTACATGTATATATATGTATGAGGTAGGATAGATTTAATCAAATTATCTAGTACATGTATATGTATGAGGTAGGATAGATTAAATCAAGTTATCTAGTACATGTATATGTATGAGGTAGGATACATTTAATCAAGTTCAGTGTTTGGATGGTGATGCAAAACTGAACAAATTTATACCTTTTACTAAGACATTCGGTTTTTATTGTAATAGTTATAATTCATTAAACTTAGATAAAGTGGTAATTAATCATTTTCCCTATCCTCTATGGGAAAAATAAATACATAAAAGTGTTGTCATGGACGCATTGCTACCTTGTCAACATTTACACTAAAAGAAGTAGGATTTAATAGTTGAACAGAGTGATACATTTATGTCTAAATTGAGCATTTAATTCTACAACTGGGGAAAACTGTGCCATGACTATCCATGAGAATCAGGCCAATTATACCCTTTCAATGAGCTTTTGGTAAATTGTGGTAAAGGTCACTTATTTTTTGAAGACATCCAAGTTGCTATTTTGGCTTATTTCAGACCTGATGATGACAATGGTGAGTGCAGTAATCTTTAACTACTTCTATTGCTTTTTAGTTCTCTTTAAAAAAATACCAGCATTTCACGTACAACTAAATTATTTCATGGACCCGTCAAAACACTCGAGTTAATTATTCATCAGTATTTGTTGCTGTTAGTTCTGAATGGCACAGTTAACTAACTGATGGCTTGTCTTATGTATGTTGTCATTTGTTCACTTATTATTGAAGTTTTGTAGTTTATTGCAAATATTCGGTCCAAATTAATACATGTATATCTGTATGAATCAATCTACAGGAAAAAGATGCCCGTAAGCTACACTACAAATAGTGTTAACAATGTTCAGTACCGTCCCTACACGATTCACTCTCATTTCTTAGCGGGTTTTTTCCATAGTTCCCAGGTCAAGTAAATACTGCTGTAACTATTTACTTTCAACCAGTGCAGTACTATCCTCTCTAGCAATCTCATTTGATCAAACGTGATCAACATAAATGTATGAGAAGAACCAAAGTTCAAGGTCATCGTAACAAGTTTTATAATTTATAGAAACCACAACAGCATGACACTTATTTGCATTTGAGCAGGACAGTCATGGCAAAAAGTCTTACATGAAGTACTCTGTGATAATTTTATCAGATATATGACATTAACGTGATAAAAGATGAAGTATCAATGCGGTTCGTTATTATGCACAACATTTATTTCATTTCATATGTTTTTACAGATGGAATGAAACTTAATGTGTTATATGAATCTGCTGGTCCAAATTACCTACAACAACCCGGTCCGAGTACCGGAAGTCAATCTGGAGATGTGTATGCTGTTGTACAGAAGCCGCCGAAGTCAAGGGCAAATGTCACAGAAACACATGGTAATGCAGAGGTACACAACTACCAGGGAGGCGTTCCTGAATTAGCTATGTATGCGCAGGTACAGAAGACAGAGAAGGGAAAGGTCGAGAAAGGTAAGCAAGAGTTCCGTAACAAGTTGAAAGCACATTGTACTAGAAACTGAGATGACACTTTACTGCACAATACTGACAGATATACATTACCATCATAATCAGCGGATCCTTCAGGCTAAATCCCAGAATGTTACACTGCTGGATTATCGATATCCACGAGCAGATCTTACAGACAAAGGACATATCTTGTAAAAAGTAATTTACATTTCCTCTGTGATGAGCTGATTGCAAGTCAGCAAGAGTAAAAGCTTTTACAATATACTCAATTTGGATATAGTTTGATTACTTTGATTTCAATTTTATTTAAATTCATTTGAACTATCCAGATTTGCCTTACGTCCGTCTTGCAACTAACGGCAGTATTCCAAATAAATGGTTTTACTCATCATGTTCAATAACAACATACATTATCACTACAATTGTCTTAATTTAGATGCGGAAGACGTAAAAATCCCAAAGCAAGAGGTCCCAGAATCATCTGTATATTCTGAGGTGAAGAAAACCAGGAAAGCAAAGCTGGCTAAGGAAGGTAATTGACACAGGTCAATGTTTTGCAGGAGTGTATCTGTTAACTGGGAAATACAGCTTAGGGTCTAGCATCGGATAGTTGACTGACCTGTAGTAATCACATTGTTTTTTCTTCTGTCTGTCCGTCCGTTCACACTTTTGTTTCCAGCGATTATCTTAGAATCCAACAAAATTATTCTTTTTTAACATTGACAGAGTGACACACTGTGAATATGTGGGATTTGAAAAGGTTTTAGTGTCAAGCCCAAAAAACTGTTATTAAAAATAGACAATGGGAATTTACGGCAAAGCACATAGCAGGAACCTTGCTGACATGTCAACGTTCTAGTCAGTCATCGGAAATATACAGAATTAATGGAAACATAGATTTGTGATCGTGAAATTCCTTTTGTAATTGGAATTATCGAATTATTAAGTCGATGTTTACGTTGCAATTCATATTTTTCATTCGAAATCAACGATCATTAATATTTTATTATGGAAAGATAAGAACGAATTTCATTATTCTCACGTTTTTAAAGAGATGTTTTAAAAATAAAAATAAAAAAAATAAAACGAACAAAGCAATATCATTTTAATGATATGGACAAAAGCCATGAAGAGAGTAAGAAAATTTAATCGATAGCCTCCGATTGCACCCTATTTCTTCATCTGTAAAGGTTGATTCTGAAAAAGTGTGTACTTTGGTATTCAGTGATTTGTTTTCTGTTATTCCAAGAACATTTGCTTTTAAGTTGATTTAGATTTAAATTTGTGTTCTTCTCTACAAATTGTAGTAGCATTTACGAACAGCGTTATCTTTTTATGTATTATAAAACGGTTGTAAATCGTTCCGATGTATGATCACTGGATTTGTTTTTTCCACAGAAGGAGTGGCTAAGGAGGACATCGAAGTAGCTGATGCTACTGGAAGACAGAATAAAGGACAACACGAGGATCTCTCTTAAAACGGAAAACTCCAATGGTTCTGCACACATAACAGGTTATATAAGACACATATTAAATAGAGGTTCCCCAACGAGTGATGGATGGTTATCATGTTTATCTAACTCGAGTTAGTTAATTTTCAAATTGTATAAAGACACGAGGTTTACCGAGTATCTTTTACATTTGAAAATTAATTAACGAGTTAGATAAACATGATTATCATCCATCACGATCTTTGGGGCCTATTTCTTCCACAACGTTCATTTCTCTTGGGAATACCTTATTCCTGTTGATGATCGGGGAAACAGTGCCATGAACTATGACGTCACATAACAGATGACGTCGCAAATCATTGCTACTTGATGTTATAAATAGAAGATTGATCAATGGAATCACGTTCAGGGTGTTACCCACTAGTGGGCAACTAAAAATGTTTACCAACTCCTAGCAGGATTATCCAATGAGTCAGGAGTGAGGAAACCTATAGTGGTTGTGGGAGAAAATAAACTCCTACACTAATCAATTGAATTGAAGAAATTCATCTAGGCTTACAGGTGATCAAAAATATATATATATATATGGTATGCATTACCTTAATTAGGTGCATACATTGTATAACAATATAGAAATTCATTTGTTTTGCTTCTTCATTTTCAACAAGATATTTACACAAGTATTCTGATCTTGTTTGGTAAATTCTTACTTACTTTATTTCAACTTCCTTATAGATCACATTATGCGATTTGAGATTACCTCTTTATATCTTGCCATAATTTATTTATGCATTGTATTTCAGTACAAGTTCACAAGATATGTTTCTTTTATTATGGCTTGTTTTGTATATAAACGAATACTGGATTTTGGGACAGAGTGTATATATAACCTAATTTTAAACTTGCTGAGATACAGATTGTTTTATATTATTTTCTTTTGGACATAAACGCAACATTTCTTCTTTTTCTACATAATTCTTACACAAGTATTTTTGCTCGTTAGTATAATTCTTACTTACTTTTGTTCAATATTGTTAGATTAACTAAAATGGAAACGCGTACTATTTCCCATTTAACTTTATACATAAGTCGTTCTTTAATTGCCATTATGTGAAATTCTTGAAATCATAGGAAACTAATGTACAAGATATGTTTACCAAATGATATGCATCGTTTGTTTTCTCGGTTCTTTGATAATAGACACTCGTCTTTGTCCATTGTGTCAAACCCTGTTTCAATACCGTGCATTTCGATGTTCATTTCAGCAAGGTATCGCTTATGCACTCCTGTAATGGAAAATCACACCTAGACGTACTGAACTACCGAAATATCATTAAATTATCTGATCACACGCCACAATCACCATATGAACGTTAGTTTGCCGTAAAATTAAGAAAACAAATATAGCGTAAATAAAGACACATAAAGTCCAACCTGATCTAGTGCCTTATCTCTAACGAAAAGTTTCCGCTGGTCGTCCGTATTTTAAACTTTAATAGACATATTATTGTTTGCTCCTAGTACGTTGCATTCACTCCAACTTTCCATCTCAAAAGCTGTACGAGGATTATATCATAGTGAAAGTTGGTCGATTAAAACATAACCTGTACAACAGCCATATAAAACGCACTCATGGCGGATGGGCATACATGCATTGTAAAGTTTAGACAAAAACAGATTCTTGTATTAGGGACATTTTGTATTATTAAACGTTAATTATTTTAACATCAAATATAGAAGACATCCAAGATAAATGTCCATAGTTTAGGAACACAACACCCATCCTAAAATCGCAACACCACACGCGCATTTCTTGTTACCAAAGTGTGCTCTAGGAGGAGTTACTAAAGGTGATGATCTCACTCGGCCTTCGATGGCGGGTGTTGTTGGTAAAGCAAAAAGCGCTTACCCCTTTGGAGCATCAGGTGTTATTCCATTGTCGGTTTTGTTCATATTTGCCCTAGTATTTTTGTTCAATTGCGTCAAATGTATCTAATACCTTTAGATGAATTAAATATGTGTGTGTAAACGAATTGTGAATCATATATGTACATCAGCGAAGTAATAAGCATAGCTTTTAAATTTATGTATCTGCTAGAATTAATTGTGTTTTCAATATTTTTAATATATACAGTTGTGTGATCGCACAACGAACTAAAATTACCGTACGAACATCGTGCTGGCATCATGCACAAGTGGTGCGCAAACTGTCCAACATAGTATGCACAACTTGGTGATTAAACAATTGACATATGTGCGATATGGTAAGAACGGCTGAACGGTTTTACGTAGGAAAAAACAATCAGGAAGGTTCAAGCAAATAAGGTACATAGTATACGTATTTGATATCCGATTGGTATACTTTGCAAATTCCATAATATGTCGAAGTATGTTACATATCATAGCAATGACCGTAAAACTGTCAGTAATGGGATGTTACTGTCTGGCTAAGTGCTGGTACACATAGTGCATTGTATGGAGTGGATCGCCGATTAGAGACCTAACCTGTGTAAATAGTGTGAATAGTGGCGCTTTGTGTGAAAATACTGTACGGTTGACTAATGATACAAACATGTACCCGTTTCCTGGGGGGAAAAATGGTAACAGGCAAGGCTGCTTTGTATACATTTAGTCTACGTGTACAGTACATACTTGTATTTGGCATTCTAATTCCTTTGAGATGTAACAAGGCATTTGCTTGGTCAATCAAAATAATTTGCGACAGTAAAACCACGATATACCGTCCGCAAATTTCTCATTTGCATATGAAGCCCGGATGGCGATTGTTAATGACGTCTATGACCTCGACTGACCCTGACACGTCATGGAATTGATTGATTATGACGTGTCACGAACAATGTCGTGACATCGAAAGGTCAACGTAATTCCGACTCACTTTGAATATTTCTGTCGTCACTAATCCACACCACCAGACCAAGAAATTGAAGGAAACACTTAAAACTGTCTTAAAATCGTCGATTCTTTGGGTGGATTTGATTGATATGAATTAGAATGGGAAACACCCTACTGCATTTTTGAATTTACGGCCGTGCAGTAGGGTTATCTCTTAAGTATATCTACACACTTGTCGTGATATTAAAGTCGGTTTTAAACGGTTTTGGTAAAACGGATGTGTGCATTACTGGTAGATAAATAGATACCATGTAAATATGGCTGCAACTGGGCAACATACTTAAAACGGGAAAGATATAGTTTGAAAAAGGATATTTAATCACCAGCCATTCCATGAGATCATTTCAACCACGATACCTATCGACTAGCTGTGTTAGTTATCGCACAGTTTGTCATCGTGCGTACATGGTGTACACCGTGTCACGTTGTGCGATCCCACAATTGTATGTGTATTTCTATCCCTGTAACATGTACGATTGTTATACCATCATCAGTTCACCTGTACACAATTGTATGTGTAGTTCTATCACTGTAACATGTACGATTGTTATACCATTTTCAGTTCACCTGTATACAATTGTATTTGTATTTCTATTCCTGTAATATGTACGATTGTTATACCATTATCAGTTCACCTGTACACAATTGTATGTGTATTTCTATCCCTGTAACATGTACGATTGTTATACCATTATCAGTTCACCTGTACACAATTGTATGTGTATTTCTATCCCTGTAACATGTACGATTGTTATACCATCATCAGTTCACCTGTACACAATTGTATGTGTATTTCTATCCCTGTAACATGTACGAGTGTTATACCGTTATCAGTTCACCTGTACACAATTGTATGTGTATTTATATCCCTGTAACATGTACGATTGTTATACCATCATCAGTTCACCTGTACACAATTGTATGTGTAGTTCTATCACTGTAACATGTACGATTGTTATACCATTATCAGTTCATAATTGTCTATGGATTGATATGTTATTATTCATCATTTTCGTAATACAACATACCGGGAAGTTGGTCAAATTTTCGCCTAATATCTTTTAAATCTATCATCGCCGAGGATGAATTCCGCCCCTCACGTTTGATAACCCTTTATTATTTTGTATTTTTCCTAATGCTTGCTGTGAGGATCAATTCCTCTCATTATGGTTGGTGAAAAATCAAAAGTAAAATGAGTCTCTTATACATGTCTTCGTAATAATATGAAAGATTGATAAACAAATATTTGCTGAATGGTAAAACCCCGATGACTTAAGTATGGAAGGGGAATAGATTAGTTACCATATAACCTGAATAACCTTACAATTGACTCATAGATGTATATTAAACTGTTTTGATAAATATATTTTTTCAAAGAAATGAACACATATATAATATTCATTAGGTCTGATTTTTGTTTTATTTTTCATTCTTTTGAACTTTTTTCTTCATTTTTTATAAATATCATGCTGTTTATAAAACGTTGATATGTGTATTTATATCTTATTTGCATTGTATATTGTATTTGTATGATTTTTTTGCATATAATGTTTCAAGGTGTTCACCTTAGTAATTTAACCAAACTAAATTTTAGTTTCGTCAAAGTCTCACCAAGGATATTAATCTGGAAGAAGACAGTGATATGTTTTGATTTGATGTTGCTGTACATTGATAACCATGAACAGCAAAAGAAAATATATAATTGGTGGCCTTCAGATACTGATGTAACATGACTGGTTATGTCATCTATTACCCTCAAAACCTATCTTTTGTCATGCTGAATAGATATTTTATATGCCTATCAACTTAAATTATATTTTAAATAACACGAAATTTAAAGGCAGTCAGTTTGTAAATAAAAACTATTGTTTATGCTCTTAATACTGTTTTGTATCTCTGAATTATCATTTATAACAAGAAAGATTTTACAAAAAAAGGGCTATTTGTTTCTTTTTTAAACTTTTAATGTATTTGCAATAGTAATAGCTGTCGCTATCAGTTAGTGCATTTTACATATTTCATCTGGAGGAAAAAACCTACCTCATCCACCAAAACATGCTACCCACAAGTGAGGCCCGCTTATATTCGGCTTTGTTATATTATCTAGAAATCAAAATGAACTTCCCATAAATACCAAACAGTGAAATAAAATTATATAAAATAGTGCTATAATAAATCAAAATGAATACGTTTTGTCGACAATAATTAGCATTATATAGACAGCTATCATATTTCATGCTTATTAC